AAAGTGATGGTAGGAGAGATCGCCGAGTCCTGCCACGGGCCTGGGGGAAATGGAGATGCAGGACTGGGCGGGCGAGGTATCCCTCTCAATCCATGTAGCCAGTTCCTTGCCCAGGTGAGTTGGCAGGGCTGAATCTTTGTCCGTATGCTTCCGCTTGGAGAAGGTTGAGCGGGTAGATCGAGTCTCCGGTGCAGCCAGCATAGTCAATTAGGACAAAGCAGGCCGGGTCCGACCTGAGCATCACGTTGTCTGCATGAATGTCGGCGTGCACGATATGAGCTCGGTGTAGCATTTCCAAGGCCGCGCTGATGTCATACTTGAGCCTGATGATGTCCATGGTGCGAAGGGCTCCCCGAGGGACCGGCCATAGCCTCGGCATTAATGCACGCGGGCCGCTCGTGGCATAGATCGTGGTAATGACGGAGAGGCACTGTGCGAACGACATAGCGAGAGTCTGACTGACAGGCGTGGACCTCGGAAGAGCTGCCCTTGCCAATCGCCTGGCCCGCCGTGTTCCCTGCCATCAACGTTCTCAACACCTCTGCCGGAGGAGAGCTGAGGGTGGCTGGGGTAGGCATGCTAGGATCTGCTGTCATTTGCTTGGCCATCTCGTCCAGGGCAAAACGAGCTTCCTTAGCAGGGTCCAAGACTGTCCAGGCTGCGTCGACTGCACTGACGTCTGCTTGGTCAGCTTCGGAGGCGAACCACTTTCGCTGCGAGTGGACTTCGGCTTCGGAGGAGTAGGTGGGCGGGCTCGGCCAGAAGCAAGAAGTGCACTTCCCTGGACTGGATTCTGCGCGTTTGATGGCGCTATGTCCTCCTGTGTGTGAAGAGACGAGCCATGTCCGCGGTCGCAGGCGTCCTGCCAAAGCTTTGCATAGTGCTCCAGGCTGTGTGGGAGCACCGGCATGGCTTGACACGTTGCGCGCTGTCCCAAACTGAAGACCATTGTAGCAAGCTGTGAGCCCTGGCAGGCAATGCTGCTGTTCCTAGCTTCTTAGTGCGGAGAAGGCAGGCAGAGGCAATGTTTTTGTCGGCCGGCAGGAACTAATATCCTAGAATCCCGCCTCCTAGAACTGTACAGTTGGGCCGAGCCACCGGGGTGAGCTGAAATTGGTGAGGCGGCCCGAGGCCCAGGTACGGATTTGCTAGAGCTAGCGATCTGACGGTTTGCCACGTGCTTTGCGAACAAGAGCGCCTGGCGCACGCTTCCCTAGCCGTTCACCTTCGCAGTCATCGAGCAGGTTGGAGATGAACTCAGACTGTCTTGCCAAAATGGTGTTCAGGACCGGGCGGTAGTCGAGGATGACGTGCTCTTTCTTGGCACTCAAGCGAGCAGAGCAGTAAGAGACCATATGAACCAGGCTCTCATGCGGATCGGGACCCAGTTCTTGCACAACCTTCTTGAAGTACTTGGTGTCTGCACTGCAGTAGGTCTTGGGAGGCGCGTCGATCTTTGACAGTTCCTTGAGGAGCGCCGCTGCCGTGTAGTGGGAGCAAGAGCCCCACGGATGAGCGGTGCCGGCCTTGTGCTCCGCCTGCCATTCACGAACTGCCTTCATCAGGCTGCGTGCTATGGGTGCATTCTCTGGGAACTTGAAGACAACGGAGACCTGATACTGCAGCAGCGCCAATTGTTCTTCGTGTAGAAGGAATCCTTGTGTGAGTTCTTCAGGGCTGACAGCTGTGATCCGTCTGCCGGGGGCCGCCCGGGGCGCCGACTTGCGATCGCCTCCCCCCCCCTCCACCACGGCCCGAGACCCCGCGCGAAGATGGAAGCGAGAGTTGATCTCGCTCTGTCATCTCCTCGTCCGCTGTTGTCGGCGAGCGGCCTCCTCTACGGCGTTTGGCTTCTGGGCTATTGGGGCCTTTAGTCATACTGTCTTGAACAAAACAAAAATGCTGACGTAGGCCTGCACATGCTTATAGCATGTTTGGCCTTGACGTGGAGCGGGCCATGTCCACTTATTGTGGGGTCCGGCCTTCCCACGCACGGGCACCCGTGCGCTTGCAGGTTGATTAATTGACGCAAAAAACGGGCCAGCACCTACAAAGTAGGTGGTTTCACTGTTTTTCCATGATGAGCAGAAACGATCCTTCTTTCATTCGCTTGGTATCCGAGGTCGAGGCTATAGTCGGGCGCACTGCGTCGTCGCCTGTCACAAGGTTATCCCGATCACCGAACCAAAATGAGCGGTAGTGACCGGAGGTGACTTCTGCTCCTATGTGAAAGACGCCTGAGCGAACCCTGTAAGTGTGCCAGGTTCTGTCCTGACCCTCACTCCAGACTGGGACGCTGACTGCCGCAAAGTTAACGGCGGTTTGAATCTTGCTGCCGCTCGACCAACGACCAAGAACAACAGCCAGCAATGGTGGAGCCCACCTGTAAGTCCCCGACCCCATTGGTCGTGAGCATGGTGTAGAACTCTGAAGCATCCTGTTGTCTGCCGTCAAACCTCCATCTAGGGAGGAGACTGCGCAGTTGAAACAGCCCAGTGGGGTTCAGAGGACGGGCATCGGAGGCATGAGAGGCACAAAGGTCTAGCAGCGGCTGCAGAGACTCAAAAGCAAAACGCCCAGTGTTCACAGCGGCCAAAGCTTGTAGAACTGAGTTGACGTAACAGGAGTTGCCAGAGTTCAGCATGGTTCGCACTGTGGTAGTTAGTGAGCTGGCATCGGTCCGAGCGCCTCCGTCAGCAGGATCAGGCATCGCGAGCTGAGGCGGCTTAGGCTCTGCTGGAGACGTCGAATGACTCCTAGCTTGTGGGGCAAAGAAGTCCTTTAAGGACCGAGTCCCCGCTGCGATCTGTGCTGGTGGACAGAGTCCCCGATGTTGCGGCTTTGATGGTTTGGGCCGAGTGGCCAGCACATAGCCGACCTGCTGTATCTCCAACTTCTTGCCAGATGTGCGGGTGCGCTTGGCGCAGGTGGGACTTGACCTTGGTGTGGTCAGGTGTCCAGAAGCCGCATACTACACATCGATGCTGTAGGATTTGTGCTGAGGGAGTGGCAGCCTGCCTGGTCTGAGCTCGAGTTGGACAGAGTCCCCGAATAGGTGATGTTACGCAGAGCGTCCGGTGCCGAGCAAGCCCCCGACAAGAGATGATCTCTCAAGCCCTTCCACTGTTTGAAGGACTTGCTGCAGGCTGCACAAACCGGCATGCCCTCCTTAGCATGAAGTTCCCTGTCAAATTCAGGAGGTATGAATCTGGACAACGTGTCCCTGTGCATCTTCGAGGTGTGCATCCGAAGTCCGTGCTCGGTTTCAAAAGCGGCCTTGCAAACATGGCAGGAATGTGCTAGCTGCAAGGTAGCTGGGGTGGCTGCCGGAATGTCCTGAGCCTCCTGCAGGATGTTGTCAAGGTCGATGAGGATGTGAGAGTGCAGAGCGACATCAGCCGCCGCATCAGCTACTTTCCGGGACCTCTTGCGCAGTTTGGTGATCCGGCCCTTCATGCGCCGAATGATTTTGTCTACAGGGTCCTGCAGCTTATGGAGCTGGAAGAGGTCAGCGGTCGTGATGTGGGTGACATGGGCTGGCTGGTTAAGCACTGAGCGAATTTTGTGTGCGTACCAGCCTCGGAGATGACGAGCTGATTCAGGGGAAAGTCCGACCTCCGGCAGTCCTGTGACGGCTGTGGCCCAGACAGCGCATGGCAAACCATACGCGCAGACGAGCAGCCGGGCTGGCAATACGTCTATTGTAGATGTACCTGCGAACCTGCTGAATCTTCTTTCCCGCTTCGGCTAGCCTATGGCGAAGCGTGAGCATTTCATAGTTAGCATAGGAGATGATAATGCCGAGATACTTGATCTTGCCTTCTAGCCTGAACGCAGGGTAAGCCTTATTGGGGCCTATCCTCCAGTGCTTCTTGAGTTCCCCTGAGGCATCCGGCAGCCAACAGGTGTGGCGCCTCGTAACAGACGGTGCCTCAGTACCCGAAAGTCGCACCATGATCGAGCATTTGACTGGATTCACTCGCAGGCGTAGGCGCCCAACGGCTTCCAACAAGGCCTGGATCAATTCATGCGCCATTTTCAAGTCCCGGCGGGAGCGGATTGTCTTGTGAACGGATATATCGTCAGCATATCCGGTGAGATGTTGTTGCACCGCCTCTAGCTCGAAGGTGTCTATTAGCATGTGAAGCAAGCGTCCTGTTAACACTGAGAACAGCGTCGGCGCGAGTTTGCACCCCTGTTTGATGCCTGTGGTCGTTTCCACCTCAGTGAAGCTGCCCTGCGCATGAAGGCGATACTTAGAGGAGTGATGGAGACCGTGGACCAGCGAAATAAGACTGGTGTCAACTGAAAGGTCCTGCAGCTGGTCGAGTATGTCCTGGCGTGAAACAGTGTCAAAGGCTTGGGACAGGTCAAGAGAAAAGGTAATGCCCCCTACCAGTGATGGTGGACCGAGTCCCCGCTTCCTGTCTTCCCTGCTGGGTTTCGCCGAGCGACCGATTAGTCTTACTTCCCTTAAGTGCTGTACAACTCGGCTTTGTGCATCCGATAGGCCGCGGGCCCGGGAGGTACGCAAACTGAGGCAGCGGCTTCATGAAGGGAACGACGTGAAGAGCCAACAGTTCCCGCGCAGCACCAGCTAGACCCTTCGCATCAGGCCTGAGAATGCCTAGGGGGCGAAGCTGGGTGGGCTTGTCAGCCGGTTTCCCTGGTTTTGAGGTCCGCGCTGAGGAGGCCGTCCTCCATAGTTTGATCTGAAGGCAGGGGAGCGGCAGTAAGCTGAGAGGGCCTCAGCAATAGGCTGATAGGCTGAGCACAGACCAGCCAGAGAGACCCAGCAGCCTCAGCGATAATCTCCCAAGACCTCCTTGAGAAATACTGAGCTCTGACCGTCCGCGCGTTCACACGCCTGTAATCAACCACGATCCGGCGTTTCCGCGCGCTGGTGGGCTCCGGCTTCCCTGCCGGACACGCCGGGGAGCCCCCAAGGGCTCGAACCTCTCACCAACTGCCCTCTGGCGACCTCCTCGTTGACCTTATCATCAACTATGCGGAGGCGTCTTCACCGGGGAGCGCGAAGGAACAATATCGTGCTGCATGTGGAGGATTGTGGTCCGCGGGCTTCCAGGCAGCCAGAAGGCTCCCGCCTTTCGGCTAAGGACCTCTCGTACCGCCGCTGCCTCTTCGACCTTAAGGTGCTTGAGGTCACACCCATCAACCACCTTCGCGCCATATTCCTCGGTTCTCCGAGGGTGCTCCGTAAGCTGTACCCCGCCGAACCGGTACACTTCCAAGGGGGCTCGAATCTCATCCCAGGATTTGGCTTTCCCGGCTTTGCTCCACTTCACGGTAGCTTCTTTAGCCAACTGCTCCAACTCGGCAGTCGTCAGCGCCTTTCCCGGAATCTCGAACTCCGAAACGACTCCCTTGGGGTCCGTAAGATTCACCTCTTTGCTGTCAGACTCTCCCAGGAGGATGGCGGAGGGCTGAAGCACCTCCTTCCACCACTCCTCCTGCTGCATCTCCTTCAAACTCAAGCTCAGAGCTTGCTGCTCCACGCTTTGCCGAGCGAACTTATATCCGGCACTGTCCAAACGCCGAGCTGCAGCGTGGTTTAACACCCCATGCTTCAGCAGCTCGACCTTCATGATGACTCTCTGGACCGAAAGCGTCTCCTGGGCTGAAACAGCCCCAGGCTCGACCACCTCCTGGCCCTCCGCACCAATGAACAACGGTTTTCATTTCACTCGTAAGTCGTCCGAGAATACAGCAGCATACTTGTGCACTGTCACTTACTCTCCGCGACCTGGATCGAAAGCACTCGTCCTACACAGCACTGCTTGGAGCCTTTTCCTTGTAGGTCCGGAGCAACCTTATAGGCAATATGCTGGAAAACCTTCAGATCCGCCAACACACCTTCCCCAGGTTGCCCTGCTCCCCTCTTAGGTTCCTTCTTCGTCGGGTCGCCCTTTTCTTCTAGCATTTGTCCCAGAGACCGCGGCAGGTATCTCTTCCTGCTCCCGAAACCTCATAGGACGCGACTCCGGCTTCTCGGAATCGCCCGTTGCTTCCCAACTCTTGTACCCTGGAGGAAGAAGCACCACATTTTCCACGTTGGCTTCTTGGATCTTCCCGGTAGCTTCATCTTTCAACTCCAGCTTGTTCCCGCTAGGCGAAATTTGTACCACCGTGTAAGGCCCTGTCAACTGCTTACGCCAAGGAGTCCGCCCCCCAGCTCGGGTGGTGCGGGGGTCTCGGAGGACCACCACGTCACCCACCGCGAGCTGTTTGGACACTCGGAAGCGGTTGAGCAGGGAGGCTCTTTTAGCCGATTCGCTGGCTCTGTGGTTCAAAACCTTTACGCGGAGCTCCCTGTAGCGCCTGAACAGCCGCGCCGCATATTCCGACACCGGCTCCCAGCCCGGGCGAGAGAGAAGACCCGGGGCGAACTGCAGGACCGAACAGACTTCAAGGTGGGAGCCGACCTCCGGGTGACTTGGGCTGCTGAACAGAAAAGAGACCAAGCCCTAGTTCCCCTGATAGCGGGTAGAATGAGAAAAAGGACCGGGAAATTGTCGAGCGATTCCAGAGTGGAGATGATGGGGTGTTGGAACGCCTTGTGAAAATCGACGAGTGGGAAGTAGCTCGATGGGTCCCCGTGGTCCCTAATGGCAAGGCTTGTGAGGATATGTCTTGGAAAGAATTTTGCTTCCGGCAGGCGCACGTCGGACTGATGGGAGGGCACAAGAATTGCCGAGACACCCAGAGAGTCTTGAAGCGAATCTGTTGGTGGCAAGATATGATGAAGGATATTGAAGTGATGGTGAACGAGCGCCTTACTTGCGCAAAAGGGCGGAAGAGACCGACGAAGCAGGAAACCGTAAGCGTGAAGCCGACGAACTTGGAGTGTTGGGAGGAAGTCATGGTGAGCTTTGAGGGACCGATGCTGCCCGCGGATGCAGCAGGGAACCGATATGTCCTTTCGTATGTGGACATGGTTTCTCACAGTGCTCTTTTTGAGCCTTGCCGGGACCTCACCAAGCAGGAAGTTCGCCGCGCGTTCTCGAAGTGCCTCGGGTCCTAAGATCGGACAGAGGGCAGGAATTCCGGAGTGTGGTGTTCCAAGAGTACTGTGCGGTTGTTGGGATTCAGCAAAAGTTTGCTGCCCCTCTTCGTCCGGTTGAAATGGGAGCTTGCGAGTGGCTTCACCAAGAATCGCAGAAGTTGCTCGGAGTTCTGCTTCATGACGTTTGTGGGGCTTACCCCCATGAATGGAGCGAGCTCCTCCCCGTGGTAGAGTTTCTTCTTGCCACGACGCCCACGCAAGCGGGGATCGCTCCGCGAGATCTGGAGAGAGCATGGTCTATGGCAATTCCTTTGGAACGGGACCTGGAGCCCTTCACGGTGCTCGAATGCGCTCTCCAGCCAACGCTCCGGCACCCTGGCTGCTTTGTCCTCAGCCTCCGAGGACTCGGAGGGAAACCCTCTCGAGCCCCTCGGGGCGTCTCCTGCTTTATGGAAACTATAAGGGATCGGCGGCGACCCGGGAACCAGCAACAGCCGTTCCCGGTCGCGCGTTTCCGCTCCCAGCACCAAATAAATCCTTCCTTCGATTCTCGGTTGGTGCCCCGGGCCGACCTTCTCAAACTTCCAAGTCCATCCTCCTTCCGGTCTTTCTTCAAACCATAGCACGTTGCTCTCGGCTCCCTTTCGGAACCGCTCGGGCAATTGCTCCCAAACCACCACTAGCCCGCGGGCGTAGTGGCCGGCGAACGCGAAGAAGCTTTCCAAAGCCTCTTTGCAGTCGCGGCCGGCTTCGTCCAAGCCTCCACGATCTCTCGCGTACTGGGCAATTTCGTGCAAAGTCTTTTCCACGACCGTCCAGCGCTGGACCCAGAACTGGTCCCCAGGTTTCCTTCGCCACTGCTGGGTAAGGTCCAGAGGCCACTTCGGACTCACTACGTGACACAGCTCCAGAGGGAGTTTCCCGTCCAAAGTGTACACAGTCACTCCGGTTCGGTTTCTCCAGCCATCTGGCTTATCCACCAACAGCCTTTCCCCTCGCTTCCAGCGGACCTCGACCAAAACCATTCCTTTCAACAGATTCTTCCGATCACCGCTTAGAAGCCACGCCTGGAGCTCGCCTCGGCAGAGCTCGACTCGAGGGGTTTCTGACGACCCACCGGCCAACACCTCGACGCCAGGAACGAATCCCGCTTCGGGTGTTATTGAGGCTCGGTCTTCGCTCAGATCCTCAGCACTGCACTTCATGCACTGGCCGAACAGCGCGGTCCTGCGCCCACAAGCGCAGACTCCACTATGCTCCCAAGCTTCCTTCGTCTCTCGTTCCAACCAAGGACCCCAGGCCGTAGTTCCCATCTTCTCAGCCACTGACACCTTCAGTTCTTCGCAGGCCGACTTGAGTTCCACCACGTTCGGGGTGCCTTTGGGCAGCACAGCTTCCACTGGCCACGGCTCAATAGGGGACTCAAGCTTAAACTCAGGACATCCTTCTTTCAGGACCGTCCATCCAGGTTTCGCTCGGCTCAACCGCGGCACTTCAACCACGGCTAGCTTAACTGCTCCCCAAGCCGCAGCAACCGCTCGGCTCTCATCTCGCTGAAACACCCTAGCCAGCAGAACAGCTTCCACGATCAAGGGCTTGGAGGCCGCCAAAACCACGACCGCCCCCCTGACCTCTTCCCACCACCACCGCTGGTCGGTGAGTCGCCAGCTCACGCAAAAGCTTGGCAACTGAGGTAAACAGGTCCACCCTGACCGCATTGGCCAGCTTCCGGCCCGTCAGCCGGGCCTTGCCCTGCCGCTCAAAATGCAGGCCAGTCCCGTCGATATCCTCAAACGGGGGTTCTTCCAGCGAGATTCTCGGCTGAAACCGGAAGACTGCGCGTCAAAAACTTGCCCAGCTCCGTGGTTTTGCTCAGGCGCTCTCCTTCCGTGCAGTAGTCTGGCACATACAACACCTTCAGGACAGGCACAGCCCCTGAATCAGCCAAGATTCGCGAAAAACAACAGAACGGGTGGGACGACGTTGGCTCAGAGCTTCCGCCCCCTGCACCCGGATCCTGGTCGGAACGATCCAAGGACCCCGGACGCTCGCTCAGCAGAGACCAAGGGATCACTTTCCCCGACTTCCTCCCCAAGAAACTCTTCCAAGGAAAATCCTCGGAGTTGGCCAATGAGTCCTTGAAGGTCTTTCGTTCTCTGCTGCAGGAGTTCGTCCCGCTCGGGAGGATTCCTCGACAACCCATCCGCAAGCCGGGCCGACCTCCCACTCAAACTTCTCAAGGTCGAGCCGTCAGCCAGGAGCTCCGAAAGCCATCTCAGGTGTTTTGGCTGGATCTCCTCGCTTGTCTGAAGGCGAGTAAGGTTACTGTGGTCGGTCCACATGATGCACCTCAAGGGGCCCAGCATACCCTTCACCGCCCGACGGACTTCCAGTTGAGCATATGTCTCTAAGCTCAGTGGCGCCCACGCTTGTTGGGGTGGGGTAAGCCCCTTGGAGTGCGTGCACAATACATTGAATCCACACAGGTCCTCCCGCATCTGCACTGCCACTCCACCCACAGCGTATCCAGAACTGTCTGCAATCTGTTCCAACGGTCGTTGACCACAGATCGCGGCGATCTCATCCACCACAGACAATTCTATTGTGCGCTTCGCCATCAATTTGATAGCGCGCACAGCGAGATCTCCCAAAGATTCTCCAGGCCCCAAGCCCGCCTCAGGGAATTCCTTCCCTTTGACGTACTCGCCAAGAATCTTGGCGCAATGCGCATATTGGGGTTGGAGGTAATACCGAAGAAAGTTAGTGCAGCCCAAGAACTGCTGCACCTGAACCTTCTCTTTCAGCGGCGGAAACCTCACTATCGCGTGCGTCTTTTCTTTCTGGACCGGCGCACCACGCCTGCCAACCACATGACCAAGCAGTTCTCCTTCGATCACTGCTATCTTAGCCTTCTCAATCCCAAAGCTCACACCGGCCATTATGGACGTATCCAAGAAAGCTTCCAAGGTCTCCAAGTGATCCAGCAGGTGAGGGTCGACCTTAGGGTGCCTCGCTCCCATGTCCGCACGGAGCAACGAGTAGTACTCGTCCGTCGGCAGGGACTCAGAAGTTCGGGTCATCCCTCCCACATCTTCCATGATGTGATAGACATGATCTCTCTAAGGCACTCTTCCGGAGTAAGCCACGAAATCATCGTCCAAAGCGCTGCGAAAGCGAGGGCTGCCCCGCCGCGCGGGCGCCCCGGGCGCGAACTCGCTGCACCAGTGGCCGCCGCGCATTGCGGGCATTCCCCCTTCACCAGCTTGACCGCTTCGCTCCCGCAGTGCCTTGCCATGAGGGCAAAGCTCCGGATACGTCCAGGCTTCAGCAGTCACTGCTCCGCAGACACTGCACGCCGTTTGCACTGCGACCCTCGGAGAGACCATCGCAACCGGCATGCCTGCTTCTACCTCGAACCCATGTTCTTTCGCAGCTTCCAGGAACACGAAGCCTTTCTCAGAGCCCAACGGCCAAAGCCCCGGAGCAGCCTCAAACTCAGCACCCGGAAGAGGATGACACCACCACACCTGACTTTCCGGGGCTCCACCTCCGCCCAAGTCCCAACGTCCCCAGCATGCACGGACAGGCTCTGCGAGGCGATGAGGCCCAGCCCTTTCGGGCCAGGCTCCTCGCTCGCACTCTCCTTCCTTTCCTCTGGGCACGCACTCCAGACCTGGTCGTAGTGCGTCACCATCTGCGCCACATAAGGATACGCTTTGTCCGTAAAAGACTCCGTCTCCTCCATGTGCGGCAGGTGGATGTCCACACCTTCCAACACGTGCGCAGTAGCTCCTGGGTGGAAGCCCAGGCCTCCCCGGTCTGCCGAGTCCAAGGCCCTTCCTCCTAGGATCAACCAGCCTCGTCCCAGGATCTTGGCACGCACCAAGACATCCCGGGACTTCTTGCCCTGGCGCTTGTCCACCTCAACACCACGCCTCCTTTCAGCGGAAGCGGCGAGTCTTTCGCCAGGCCGTTCACCACCTCTGGGACCTCCCATCGCTCCAGAGCTGCCACGGGAAACTCCGTGCTGCTCGGGCGAACTCCAGCTTTCAAGGCAACCCTGATCATTCCAACGACCATTTCTTCAGTCACCGAGTTACATCCTGCGCAGGTGTCCAGCATGCAGGCCACTTTCCTTCCGAAGATCTCGACCTCCGTCTTGTACTGGTAGCCGCCCCGAGAGTTAGGCGTGTCAACAAACCAACTCTTCGGCAAGTCGTCTATGCCGTTGAAGTCCTCCTTCGCAACGTCGCTTCCCGCCTTCGCTTTCTCTTTCTTCTTGTTCTTTTCCTTCGGAGCAGGCGAAGGCTGCGCACGCGCGATGGAGTCGGCGGCCGCAGGGGCAGGAACGCTCCACTGCAGCCCGCCCTCCAACGGCGCAGACTCGAAACAGACAAACGGGTTCTCGCACGCCATGGCCGAGGCACCCACACCACTAGGCCCGTCGGTCGTGGCAAGCTGCACTCCAGGGACGCCTGTACCCTTTGCCTTAGCAATCTCCGCCAGGAACCTCTGCTTGGCTCCCTTGTCATGCTTGTGCGGGCAGGCATCCCCTTTGTCACACCCTCGAACTGTCAGCCAAAACTTGCAAGCCTCCTTTCGGTCACCCTTTCCTTTGCCCTTCTTGTCTTTGTCTTTGTCCTTGTCCTTCTTTCCCTTACCTTTGGAAGAACTCGCGGCAGCGCTGTCGTTCCCTTTAGCCTTGTCGGCTTCCTTCTTCTTCTTCCTTTCAGCTTCAACAAGGCTCTTTTCGTGGCTGTACTCACACCGGTCTCCGTGCTTGCAACTCCCGTGGTCGCGCATCAAGAGGCAAACTTTCTTCTTCTTCTTTGCATTAGCATCCAGAGGCATGCTGCTGTCAGCTTCTCCTTCTCCCTTTTTCTTCTTCTTCTTTCTCTTGTCAGCGGAGTCCCCGGGCGAACTCGCATCCTGAGGACCTCCCACTGACAAGGAGGAGTTCTGGAGAGCTCTCTGCCCTGCATTCATAGCCTCATACTCTTTCACTACTTCATGCGCCTCTTCCCACGTCGCCACACCGCGAAACTCTCGCGCTCCAGTCGCACCTTCTCGGTAACGCTTGTCCTTGCGAACCTCTCGTGACAACTGGTCCCCGATCTTCCTCAGGTACTGGATCAGGTTTTCTCGGGCAGTCATGCCTAGGCCCACAGCTTCTCTTTCTCCGAGCTTCTCCTCCCACAACACTTCCCACTGGTGCGCTGACAAGCGCCCTTTGTGAAGCCTCTCCCAATCATCCAGGACTCGGAGCTCCTTCTCCTCCCTTGTCTCCGCGAAAAGCAGATGCTTCTGCTTCACCGCGGAGTACACAGCTCCAGGGTCCCTCTTGAGGAGGCCGTCGTTGAGGTGTCTCTTGTAGATCAGCTCGTAAGTGCTGCCTCAGGCAGGCCTTCAGGGTAACCAAAGTTTCCATATCCGACATCCCTTCGCCATCATTGGCCAACGCTATTGTCGCCTCAAACTGGTCGTAAAACTCTTGCACAGACCTAAAGTCCGAGCAATCATCATCCAGCACCGGCCATTGCACCTTCGGCGTCACCTGGATTGTCGAACGTTTTGGCGGCTTCTTCTCAAGCGCCAGCTTCAACAGTTCCGTCTGCTTTGTAAGCAAGTCGGCCAGCGGGTCCCCTGACCCGGAACCACCGCCGCCGCGTAACTCCAAAGAGACAGGGCAGGCAGGCTTGCTCGGAGCACTCGACACCGCAGCCTCGGGACCCCTAAAGAGGGTCC